TGCTGCCGTAACAATGGGTGTTGCAACCATCAAGCCATCACATTACAGCTGCCCTGACGGTGAGCCCTGAGGGAACTCAGGATAGAAACAGGATGCCTGCCATCACGCCATCAGCCACTGCAGCCACCAACCCCCCGCCCCCTGCATTGAAGGTGCACCCTGAGGGGATTCAGGATGAGAAAGCATAGGACACTGGCCCCAGATAGGTGAGGTGCACATCAAAGGGGTGGTTTCAGTGAGCCCAGACTCTTGCATCTTCCCATACATTGATAAGAGCTAAATTCCTTAACTTGAGATGTCTGGTTTTCTTTCATTAACAGTAATCTTTTGATGTTCTGACTACCTGGTCTTTTTTGCAAAAACTCCTATACATCCTGGTTCCCCCCTTGCCTCTTCGGAGCAGTCCCTCAGAGCAATCCGAGAGGCTGCGTCCCGGGTTTAAGTCCTCAGTTTTGTCCACTGAATATAACATAATTCTCAACTTTTAGGTTGTGCATTTTTTTTCAGTCGACATTTGCAAAGTGGCTGCGGTGACAACCAGATAGAAGGAGATCGGGACTTGCTGAGAGAATGAGTGCATCTCAAATGGAAACAATCAATTATACATTTTTTCATTTAAAATTTGAGATCTCTGGCAAGATCAACCGTCGCAGGTGATGTTGGTCTCTTCTCAGGCTGACACCCAGATCCTGAAATTGTTTCCTAGCTCTCCACTCCCAGCTGTGTGTGTGAGATGAGATCAAGTTATCATTTTATACTGAATGTAATAAATTCCAGGACTGTCAGCAGTGATACAGTTACACCGAGTTTAGTACTGTTTCCCATCCCGCCTACCCTCCAGGGACAGCAGGGGAGGTGTACACCCCGCAGTCTGAAGTCCCACGAGCTCTGGGTGAAAAAGGTTGGGTTTGCTTTTTCCCCTTTTCATTATCCATTGATTGCTTTTTCTTAATGATTTATTGGGCTTCACTCGCAGGAGAAAAACTCCTGAGAAAACCTGGTGTGTCTGTGAGAGCCAGAATCTGTGGATTTTGTTGCCAACCTTTGTAGAAAGGCATGACTCGCTTCCCTACCAGAAAAGGACTTGATATTAAAAAAATGTTATTGACCAGTTTGGACAGGAGCAGGAAGTGAGATCCCTCCCGCAGGTAAGCCGTGGTCTGTCCCCCATGGAACTTGGCCACTCTGTAGCAGGAGAGAACCCTGAAACTGGAATAGGAGATCATGGACTGGACTGTCTGGACACCAGGCTACATGGACCACACTCTTGGTTTACCATTTTGTTTCATGTTGGTGTGAATGAGCATCTTAGAGGACATCCGATACTTAACAGTGTTTTCATCCAAATTATTCTGTGGGTTTTTTTCTACATTCTGTGTACAAATTCCAGGAGTGGGAATCGAAGGGAACAGGAGTCAAACCACAAATATTCTCCGGGCAGCCAAAATGTTTTGGCTTCCCGTGGGTTGAAGGTTGAGAAACACTCTTGTGTTTCAGCATTGAGAGGGGCTGGTGAACCAAGATCCAGGGGACCCTGACATTGGAGGGGTAGGGGGCGGGGATAGGGGTGGGGAGAGATGTTTGTGTGTTCTCTAGAGCATATTTGGCTAAAAAACCTCTTGTGTCAAAATTCACTTCTGTTCCAGAGACACAGATAATGGATCGAGTGCAGCCCATCACCCGGGATAACAGGTGTCAGGACTTGCAGGGGGACCTGGATGGGTGGCTCTGGGGTCCAGTTTTCTGCTGCCCAAGGCCATCTCACTGTGGCCCTGATGAGGTCATTCTTAACCAAAAATACTTATCAGAGGAGAAGGAAACCACATAGGTGGGACATCTCTAATGTGACAGAAACATGCTAGGTGCTGACCACAACTTTGAAATAAATGGGATGCCCCCAATTTTAAAGATGGAGACATTCCTGCCTGTGTATGCATGGTGGGTGCTGGGTCAGCCCCTCACCTCAAGAAGGAGTTGACAGTCTCAGATGTCACAGTGCTCTAAGGGCTACAGGATGACAGAGGTAGAACCTGAAATAGATACAAAATGGATGAGCTGTGAAGTGCTTTTAAGGGAATGTCCTCACAGAGCTGGGAAAATGCTCAGGGCACTTAAAGGACTGAGGTGAGTTCAGAGTGGTGCAGAGGGGTCCGCCAGGCTTGCATAATTGTGGTGAGGACTGAAGCAAGTGGGACTGGAAGTTCCCAGTCTAGACAGGGTGGAGGGAGGAAAATCAATTAGTATCAGAGGTGTAAAATGCATTGTCGCAAACAGCTTGTTTATGGGCTGCCACATGGGCCCAGGCACACTCCAGAGATGCAGGCAGTGGCTGGAGTTCTCCGTTGTATTTCACAAGTTTTAACAAACCTCCATGGCATGAGTTTGTACCCCCTTGAATGTGGGGCGGCGTTTGAGCGATCCAGCCACCCAGTGCAACACTTCCCCAGCTCCAGACTTGGACCAGTCAAGCCCTTGCTCTGGTTGGCTTCATTTGCTTCATTTTATCATGTGGACCCTGCGTCTCTGAGTGAATTTAAGTTCTTGTGTCTCCTTGCATGTTCATGGTTGCTATGGAGGTAGAAGTAAGGCAGAGAAAAGTATTTAAGAGTTCATTTTGCATTGGCTTGTTTGCTTAGTAACGAGTCTAATGTCTGCAGAACTCAAGGATTGGGAGAAACATTGACATTTTTTCTTTACATTTTTTCTATGGGAGCCTCGGCAGGGGTTGATGGGTTTTCTGGGTGTTGGGCTATTTCCTGTGGATCCCTCCCCTATTCCTTATGGGGATTCTGCATTTGATGAGCAGGGCATTTGATGGTCAGTGTCGCACAAGGAAGCATGAATTGGCATAAAAAGCAACCTTCAGGGATTGGGTTTTCCTTTGATATTAATATTTAAGTACAAGAAAATCTGAGTCTCATGGATAAAGAAGAAGTGACACATATATACAATGGAATATTACTCAGCCATAAAAAGAAACGAAATCGAGTTATTTGTAGTGAGGTGGATGGACCTAGAGTCTGTCATACAGAGTGAAGTAAGTCAGAAAGAGAAAAACAAATACCGTATGCTAACACATATATATGGAATCTTAAAAAACAAACAAAAAAAAGGTTCTGAAGAACCTAGGGGCAGGACAGGAATGAAGATGCAGACCTACTAGAGAATGGACTTGAGGACATGGGGAGGGGGAAGGGTAAGCTGGGGCAAAGTGAGAGTGTGGCATGTACATATATACACTACCAAACGTAAAATCGATAGCTAGTGGGAAGCAGCCGCATAGCACAGGGAGATCAGCTCGGTGTTTTGTGACCACCTAGAGGGGTGGGATAGGGAGGGTGGGAGGGAGACGCAAGAGGGAGGGGATATGGGAACATATGTATATGTATAGATGATTCACTGTGTTATACAGCAGGAACTAACACACCATTGTAAAGCAATTATATTCCAATAATGATGTTAAAAAATAAATAAAAACCACCTAAAAAAAAAAAAGAAGAAAATCTGAGTCTGAAAAATCTTCTCAGGAAACTGAATGATAGTATAATTGGCAGAACAGAATAGAATTTGAGGCTGAGGGCAGGTAATGCGGGGCTGTTGCTGAATGCGATGAGTTTCCTGTCTGTATTTGTTTCCAATGTGGTGAACCAATGGTTCAGATGAAAGCTCACCACAAGTTCATTGTGTGAAACGTGAGGGCAGGGTTGCCCACCCACTCATTTCTGCAAATGTGGACTCAAGGGCCCTCCGGGTACCAGGAGATGCTAGGAGCCAGGGACACAGCCACGGGTGCAGACGGGGAATAATCGCTGTCTTCATGGGCTCACATTTACATGATAACTATAAAAGCACATATCAGATGCTTCCTTTGTGCCTAGAACTCTCTACGGCTCTTTCATCTGTCCTAACCCTTTCAGTTCTCACTATTTCTTTGTGATGGAGGTGCTGTTATTGACCTCAATTTTACAGGAGATAAACTGAGGCAGAGAGAAGTTAAGAAACCTGTCCAAGGTCACACAGCTTATCAGCGGCAAAGCCGGGAATTGAGTCCAGGCAGTGTGTCCCCCTCATCTGTGGGCTGACCACTACACTGCACTGGCATCGGTGTGGACTACATCGGGCTGGGCCTCCAGTGCTGGGGAGGGATGGGGCTGGGCCTCCAGTGCTGGGGAGGGATGGGGCAGGGCAGAGGGCACAGCAGGGCAAGGGGTGGGCTCCGTTTCAGTTTTAATTTGGAATTAGACGGCTATTCTCTAAATGCCCTTCCTGCAACTAACACTCATGTGATTCTATTAAGCAGGACCTAGGAGGAAAAACTGGAAAAATATCTATGTGCCTTTAGTCTGCTCCCTGGATAGAGACCTTGCTCCTTGGGAACAATTAATTAGTGTGTTAGGCTGAATTTATTTTCAGTTGATTAGGGATCAGTCATGAAGTACTGCATTCGGTGGTCACGTCAAGTCTTCACAGCAGGCTGTTTATACTACCCGGTCACTTGTTTGAAACTTCTCAAAGTTAGAAGAAACCTAAGCCCCTCCCTGGCAGCGGGTGAAATACTTCTCGAAATGGCGAAGACGGGCTTCTTCTCTAGCAGAAATATACTTCTTGATCGGTTCCTTCCTCTTTTCAGCATCTAAGTGCTCACTCTGATGACAGGTTAAACATTTAAGGAGGTTAATTCACCACTGCAGGTGGGTTGAGAATCTTGCATGATTCTAGCTGGTAAGAATTCCTCTTAGAGGTTTAAAAAGTCTGCTGTTTCCTTCATGATTAGGAAAATAAACCTCACCCCAGGAGGTGTGTCCTGCCATGGGGTCTGTGATCATTTTCCCAGGAGAGTGAAAATAAGAGTTTTGCTCCAGCCATTCAAGCTGCCCATGGAAATGATGATGGGAGAAGTTCATGTGGGTGGTGGGCGCTGGGCTTTGGTGTCTGAGTGTTCGTATGCCGAGAAGCATCTCAGAGTGATGAGGTTTTATGTTTGCCTCTTCCCCCGACAGGGCTGCTTGACGACCCCAAACTCCCCGTCCGTGAATCCCCGTTCCACTACACTGGGTCCATCGCTCTCCCTTGGCAGCATCTCAGGGGTGTCGGTCAAGTCAGACCTGAAGAAGCGCCGAGCGCCTCCCCCTCCGTCCCTGCCCCGCGCGGAACCACCCGTGCAAGACAAGACGTCGGAAAAGGTAGGGAGAGGGCGCCGCTCAGGACCAGGGCCCCTGCTAAACGAACCCATGAATTCTCTGGAAGGTGTCTGTGCGCCCTGTCATCCTTCAAGCTTGTGGCTTTAGCAACAAGATGGTTCAGGGTGAAAAGTTAAGCTTTATTCAGAAGTCAAGGTGAGATGCCGCATCGCTTCATTTAGGGAAGATCGGAAACTATTTTTGTGCCTTCAGCCCTTAAAGGCTTAGGCTTGTTGATTAACGTTTATTTTATCTTTAGCTTTGAAATGTGGGGCACCATTGCTTAATGAGAAAATTGCAGGCACTGTAAGAAGTCTGGAGCGTGCGTAAGATGGGGATGACACACAATACAATATAGGTGCCCCAATAAACCGCGTTCACAGGACAGCTGAGAAGGTGTTTGCACGTGAAGTTGGTTTCTATGTGACATAACATCTATTTAGGGAGGCCTCGTATCTGGGGAGCCTTCAGAGCAGAGGAATGGCTTTGCACGTGACTGTCCCGTGGTGACCAGGCAGAGCCAGCGTCCCTAGCGGCTGGCCCCTTACTCTGGGCTTCTTCCTTCCTCTGCCTGAGGATTGGCCTTGAAACACTATTTGACATGCCAGGCCCTCATTTTCCAGAGGCCAGGACACTCTTTGACAGTTTTTCTGGCTTAAAATGTGACACTGAAAAAAATTATTTGGGTGGGATGTGACAGGGATGACACCCAAGGGTGGCCAGGACGGACGATGTGCTCTGGGTGCTTTTAGAAGCCAGGCTCTCCTGGGCAGCAACAGGAGTGCTCCGCAGAGACCCTGAGATGCGGGTCAGCCTGCAGTGTAAGAAGGACCCACTGTTCCTCACTGAGCTGAGATGGTTCCCGGCGACTTGCCTGGTAGCCTCCTGGCAGATACCACCCCACAACTAGGAACATCTATGTGGAGCCCCTTTAAGCCCAGCTCTCCTCCGGTAGGAGCTGACTCTCCTGACACTTTTCTCCTGCTGTGGTGTTGCTTGGCTGGCCCGTGTCTGCTTCATGGGGCCCATAGCATCACACCCTGCTGGGCTTGAGGCCCGGCCCTTTTGTGCTATTCATAAACTGACTTTCCTTAAGATAACCTAGAAACCACGTCTGTACCTTTCAGACGGGAGGCTTGGCCCCTGTATCGTGGTTAGCAGTCACGTTAGTGGCTCCGTGGCAGTGTCATGACACCTCACTTCCTTTCCTTTCCGGCCTGGTCATCTGTCTGGCCGTGTATCTGTCTGGCCGTGTATCTGTCTGTTCGTCGGTCACCTTTCTCAGTCCCTCCAGGGCTGTTCTTTATCCCGGGTCTTCCCATCTAACGGTCTCTCCATACCCAGTCCTCGCAGTCTGTCTGAAAAGCCTGTAATGCAACGCATTTTACAAGAAAACTTTTGATTTTTATGTTTCTTAAACAGTTTCTAATAGTACTAATTTATTTTGAGTTTTCCATCATATTTTCACTGTCTTTTGATAAAAGAAATGTAGGCACAAACCAAACTGGCATTGTTTTGCTGTACACATGCCCAACTACACAGTGCAGACTCATGAACACAGAGCTGCTTCCCGTGGGGGTCTGCAGTGCGTTTCACCCCTTACTTTGTGGGGAGTTAGATTTTGAACTTCCTCATGACACAGAGCATCCTTACAGCATTTAGCAATTTTCAACCACCTACCTCTGGGGGCGTCTTGTTGCTTTTGATGGGGAGGGGTATTTCTTTAGTGGTGAAAAGTGTGAGTTCCAGTATCAGGATAATTTAAGCTTTATTTCAAAAGAGTTGCATTTGCCTAATGTTATAGAATGTAGATGCTACACTGCATCGGTATTTTTAAAAATTTTATTGAAGTGTAGTTGATTTACAATGTGGTGTTTAATTTCTGCTGTATAGCAATGACTCAGTTATATATATATATATATATTCTTTTTCATATTCATTTCCATTATGGTTTATCACAGGATATTGACTATAGTTCTCTGTGCTCTACAGTAGGCCCTTGTCGTATATCCATTCTATGTATAATAGTTTGCGTTTGCTTATCCCCAACTCCCCATCCATCCCTTCCTGACCCCCCACCCCCTTGGCAACCACAAGTCTGTTCTCTATGTCTGTGAATCTGGTTTTATTTTGTAGATAAGTTCATTTGTGTCCTATTTTAGATTCCACATGTAAGTGATATCATATGGTATTTGTCTTTCTCTTTCTGACTTACTTTGCTTAATATGACCATCTCTAGGTCCATCCATGTTGCTGCAAATGGCATTATTTCATTCTTTTTTTATAGCTGAGTAGTATTCCATTGTATATATATACCACATCCTTATGTGTTCCTCTGTCGATGGACATTTAGGTTGCTTCCGTGTCTCGGCTATTCTAAACAGTGCTGCAATGAACATTGGGGTGCATGTATCCTTTCGAAGCTTGTTTTTCTCCGGACATATGTCCCGAAGTGGGATTGCTGGATCATATGGTAGCTGCACCAATTTACACTTCCACCAACAGTGCAGGAGAGTCCCCCGCTTTTCTCTACACCTTCTCCAGCATTTATTGTTTGTAGACTTTTTAATGATGGCCATTCTGACCAGTGTGAGGTGACACCTCATTGTAGTTTTGATTTGCATTTCTCTGATAATTAGAGATATTGAACATCCTTTCATGTGTTTGTTGGCAGTCTGTATGTCTTCTTTGGAGAAATGTCTATTTAGGTCTTCTGCCCATTTTTCGATTGGGTTGTTTGTTTTCTGGTATTGAATTGTAGGAGCTGTTCGTATATTTTAGAAATTAAGCCCTTGTCAGTCGCACCATTTGCAAATATTTTCTCCCAGTTCATAGGTTGTCTTCTCGTTTTGTTTATGGTGTCCTTTGCTGTGCTGCATCAGCACTTTAAAAATTCCTTCTATCCAGAGAAGTTACGTTTTTCAGATTTTTATGTGCTTTTCCAGAGTGGATAAAGTCGGCTTGAGTGGGAAAATGTATATTAAGTAGAGAATTGGGAATTCTGAATGAAAAATAAATAGTACCGTATACACTGCAGAATGAATAGAGCCCCCTCTGAGGCAATAAAAGCTTCTTTACTGAAATCCGTTTTATTTGGCACAGAATGAGTGGAGAAATTGACTCACAGCAACCATCTCCTTTCTTAAGAACATGAATGGCATATGGATTCGATTTAAGCATTTGCTATGACCGTGCTTTTTTTTTTTTTTCCTTTCTAAATGAAAGGTATTTTGTTATTTACTAATTTCTGGGAAAGGAACCCAAAAATGTATTGTCGTCGTTGGGGAAGAACGTCAATTCCTTCTTCCTGAACTTCCTCCCATATAAAGATAAGATGTTTGTTTGGAAAGCCTTATTTATAGGCAACTGTTACTAACACGAATATCCTGAATCAGGAGGAAAGGATTATTTTCAAGGCCGTGACTAGTTTATAGGAAAATGGGAATCTTAGATTTTCTTCTTTTAAAAGACTTTTTTCTTATCAACTGGTATTAAAAATTCAGTACAGTAGCCCCTTCCTGTCTGTGGGTTTCCCCATCCTCGGATTCAACCAATCATGGATCAAAAAGAGTCAGAAAAAAATAATTCCAGAAAATTTCAGAAAGCGAAACTTGAATTTGCTGTTTGCTGGCAACTATCTACATAGCATTTACATTGTATTAAGTATTATAAACCACCTAGAGATGATTTAAAGTACACAGGAGAACACGGGTAGATTATGTGCAAGTACTGCCCCATTTTACAGATGGGCCTCAGCGTCTGAGGATTTTGGTGTCTGAGAGGGTCCTGGAAACATCTCCCACTGAGACTGAGGGGCGACTCTATTTACTTTTTCAGGTCTTAAAGGCAAAATAATTTCAGCCATCTTCCAGGTCATCTGAAACTTTTAAAAACTGTAACCTTTGTCTCAGAATTTGCAACCTGCTTCTATACTCATGATTTGAGTATTTGTTATTTCTAAAAGTGCTTTTCAAGAAGATTTTTCCAGAGGCGTTTGAGCCAGTGAGAGAAACGGGTGGCATCCTTGTACCAGCCCTTCGACAGAGGGGTCAGTGAGACAAGGGAAGCCACGTGCCATTTTCAGAAAAAGGTGGAACTGCTCTCTGCCTCAGACCTTCACCTCTCGTCCCAGTGCCTTGAATGAAGTTTTAATTACGTGGAACGTTCAGACAGGAATGATCTATACATTAGGGCACCATGTGCTAAGTCAGTATATTTCAAGCTTGAGTGAGCGTCAGAATCCCCCCAAAGGGCTTGTGAAAACACACTTGCCTTGGTTCCACACTGAGGGTTTCTGATTCCGTAGGTCTGGGGCCAGGCCTGAGAACTCGGGGTTCAGCAAGTTCCCAGACAAACCCCACTTTGAGAACCACCACCCCACAGACCTCTACCTGCCCCATCTGCCCGCCCAGAATTTGGACTAATCTGATGTGAGAGCAGCAGGTCTACTTCGTATAAATATTTTTAACAGATCTGGAGAGATTCTTTGGCAGAAACGTTACCACCATCATGCACCGTTAGCTGAGGCCTAAAGCTATCTATTAAGAGAAATGAGTAGGTCCCACTTCTTCTCACTGGGACCTGGGGAAAAGGACAGAGGAATTGCCTGTTCCAGACGGGATCTTTCTCCCTCTTTCATCTTGGAGGGGCCCCACTGTCCTCTCCCCACCTTGCTCCGTGCTGAGATGACCCCTTGCCTTGTCCTTAGCCCTGCACAAGGGCTTGCTGCATCTGTGTTTGTGTCAGAGCCCCCTTTATACAACAGGTCTTAGCCACGGACCCCAAGGAGACTCGCCTTCCTGTCATTTGCACACATCTCTCCCCCTGGGGCTGCTCTTGGGTCAGCATTCAGGTCATGAATAGGGGCAGAGGACACAGGTGCCCGGGTGGACAGCCCTCCACTCGCTTGCTGGTCCTCAGTTTCCTCCTCTACAAAATGGGAACGATCAAAGCAGCCTCCCCAGGTCCACAGGGTAGAGGTCAGAGCAAGGCCCCTGGAGCCG